TATAAATAAAATTAGAAATTATTAAAATTCTGTATTGAAAATTTAAAACGACAGTTAATCTGAAACAAAATTTAAGATCTACAAAAACACTGAGCAAAAAAAAAATCAAATCCCAAACGGAGGGAGCAGTGAACAATAGAAATTAAGAAAATAATATAATTATATTTTTACAATAATATTTTTAATCTAAATGTTTTAAATTAATAATACAGAAAATAAATCTCACAAAATCTTAATATTAAAATTGGGCTTTCAAAGGCTTTAAATTTCAGACCCATTAGTCAAAGACCACACAAGGCCTATTAAGCCAGTTTAGTAAATTACCAACATGCACAAAAATATAAACGATATTACGAAAATACCACCAAGAGCTGTTCTTTTCCTGTAATTTCAGTTAAGAGCTTTCTTCTTCCTTTCCCTATCCTCAAACCCACACGCTCTTCAAGAATTAGGGTTTCTTTTCTTTTTGAATCTTCTCTAATTCCCAAATCCAAAGATATGAAGAGATCTTCAGGTAAAAAGGATTCAAATTTCATAGAGCAATTGATACTTTACGTCGCTAGTGCTGCATTGAGTAGCTTGGTTCTCTACGTTGGTCTTCGAGCAATTGACCCGAACCGTGACGCAGCTAAAAAGTCTCTCGAGCATAAAAGAGAAATCGCCAAACGTTTAGGTCGTCCTCTTATTCAAACCAATCAATACGAGGTAATTTTGATAATTCAATTCGATTTCAAAGTTGGTTCTTTTCGAGTTCTAATTGTTTATTGTGAAAACAGGATGTGATTGCGTGTGATGTAATAAACCCATTACACATTAATGTTGAGTTTGGTTCTATTGGAGGGTTAGAGTCAATTAAGCAAGCTTTGTATGAGCTTGTGATTCTACCATTGAAAAGACCTGAGCTTTTTGCTTATGGGAAGTTACTTGGTCCTCAAAAGGGAGTTTTGTTGTATGGTCCTCCTGGTACTGGGAAGACTATGCTTGCTAAAGCGATTGCGAGGGAATCTGAAGCTGTTTTTATTAATGTTAAGGTTTCTAATTTGATGAGCAAGTGGTTTGGTGATGCTCAGAAGCTTGGTAGGTGTTAGATTTTATGATTTAGAAGGAGGTTACATTTACCTGTGTTACTGATTTATGAGTTGTTTGTTTTCTTTAGTGTCTGCCGTGTTTAGCTTGGCCTATAAACTCCAACCTGCTATTATTTTTATCGATGAGGTTGATAGTTTTCTTGGCCAGCGACGTTCGACTGATAATGAAGCAATGTCGAATATGAAGACTGAGTTTATGGCTTTATGGGATGGATTTACTACAGACCGTGAGTTGAAATTGTTGTCCTCGTTGTCGTATTTAACGTTGTAAACTAAGTGCAATTCTGAGGTTTGATGTTTTGGTTTTATAGAGAATGCGAGGGTGATGGTTCTTGCTGCAACGAACAGACCTTCGGAGCTTGATGAAGCAATATTGAGGCGTTTTCCTCAGTCATTTGAGATCGGGATGCCTGATTACCGGGAGAGAGCTCAAATATTGAAAGTGGTTTTGAAAGGAGAGAGGGTTGAACCAGATATTAATTATGATCACATAGCTCGTTTATGTGAAGACTATACTGGATCAGATATTTTTGAACTCTGCAAAAAAGCAGCTTACTTCCCAATCCGAGAAATCCTAGAGGCGGAGAAAAAGGGCAAACAAATTTCTGTAAGTAATAAACCGTTTTTAGGGACTGTCAATGTTTCCTTCTTCCACCCGATTTTTTGAGTACTGACATCTTCAAGTTGCCTACATTTTACAGGTGCCTAGACCATTGTCACAACTAGACTTGGAGAAGGTTCTTGCTACCTCAAAGAAGACACAAGTTGCTGCAAGCGAGTACACTGGTTTAAGCTCGCAATCTTCAGTCTGGAGAAGTCCAAGCAATGCCGACGAGGTCCAAGCAGCTATAAACGGCATCTCAAAGCTTTTTGTCTCTCGCCTTAGAAACATCCAGCCAGACTCTCAAGATTCATATCAACATGATTCAGAAGGAGATTCGGAATAGAAGCAAACTCTTCACTAGAGCTTTGTATAGTCCAAAAAGAGTATTACCAAAAAGAATATACACTTTTGTAAACCTCATATGTCTCTGCATAAGTTGGTGCATTTCCTAAGGAGCATTGTTGCCTTAAGATATGTTTAGGAAATTATTTCATTTCTTGTTCAAGCAATGATCTATATACATTTACCAATTTGGGTTTCTTCAGATTTTGAATAAAAATGTCAGCTTTTTTTGTTTCTTCGTGTAAAAATGGCATCTTTAGAGTGTTTTTGTCAATGGTATTATCTGGGCTTTGATCGTTTACTTTACAATATAGATGGGCTTGTGTAGTCAACTTGAGACAAACAAAAAAAAAAACAAATTTTTGTTTCCGTGACTCTGTAGATCGTCTCGAACCCAACTTTCAGAATCTTCGTCGATTTGATCGATTCTTCTTCGTATCTCTCTGCAATAAACCCTTCGAATCTAACTCTCTCGGCTAATCTCGATCAAGTTTGGTTTTCTCATCGTTGTATCATTACTATGTGATTTAGTCTTGTCTGGGGTTTGTTTGATTACTTCTCATAAATTGAGATTAGGGTTTTATTTATGTTTCTCTGTGATCATAACTGAATCATGAGTTCCGAATTTGAATCAGCTCCTAGCTTAAAAATCAAACCTTTTTGGTGTTTCAAGTTGAAAATGTCGATAATTTTGTCTCATTTGTTGGATTCTTATGCTATGAACAGGTTTTTGTTATTGGGAATCGAATCTTCTGATCATGGTAAGTGTTGTTTTCGACAAAATTTCTCGTCTTTGCTTAGTGTCGTTGTTTCTGTAATTGTTACTAAAGTTTATACCTTCACAGAATTATCTTCTTGGAGCTTTCAAGCCGGCATGTAATATTTCAATCACATTTACTGATGGGAAAAACCGTAAACAGGTACACATCGCTCTTTACGTTTATCTATTTTGCTTCTCCTTCGGATTTATTGTTCCCGGACTTAGGTTTATAGGTTTTCTTATTGTATCTACTTTGGTCTCTGTTGCGGTAGGTACCCATTAAGAAAGATAATGGACAAATAGTTATGAATCCACTTTTCCAGAGTCAAGAAACTATTGCTGGGAAGGTACTTTGGTTTTGTTGTTATCTCTAATCACCAGGAGGTTTATGGAATTGCTTAAAAGGAGTTTTTATTTCATAACTTGTCTCTCTTAGATTAACATTGAACCATATCAAGGGAAAAAGGTGGAGCACAATGGTGTAAAAGTTGAGCTTCTTGGTCAAATAGGTGTGCAAATGCTGTGAATTATGTCGGTTTTCTTATCTGGTTTCTAACTCATGTCTTTATATGTTTATCGACGACATTTGTGTTACTTTTTTACAGAAATGTACTTTGACAGAGGAAACTTTTATGACTTCACTTCCTTGGGTGAGTCAAAACTTAGGGTTCCATTATGACATGACTGTGTTGTTTTCTTCAGTAGTCACTGATTGTTCCAACTATCTTTCTGGTTTCTATATCTAATTTATAGTGCGTGAGATTGATGTACCTGGGGAAATATATGAAAGAAAGACATACCCTTTTGAATTTTCGAGCGTTGAGATGCCATATGAGACATACAATGGCGTGAATGTGCGCCTAAGGTATGATCATATTATTCTTTGACTCAGATTGAAACAATAATTTCAAGTTCCTAATTTTGCATATTGTAGTACATTATTTTTGTTTCTGTTTTCCTCAGGTATGTCCTCAAAGTAACAGTCACACGTGGTTATGCTGGAAGCATCGTGGAATACCAGGACTTTGTGGTATTTTTCTTCACTTGTGCGTATGTATATCTTCCTGACACAATAGTCTTTAAGATAAACTTAGCTTTTTTTTTAATTGGTTTGAAACAGGTCCGTAACTATGTTCCGTCTCCTCCAATCAATAACAGCATTAAGGTGAGTTCTGATATGATTCAAGTTTTTCGTTTTAGAAAAAGATTCTAGGTTATTTAGTAGAACCCAAACTCTCCCATTTACGGGTCTTGGTTTTGATAGTGAATGACCTTTTGATGTTCCCATTTCCTTATTAGCATTAGATATGCTTAATTCCATTGGACCCTTACCCATTGTACAGATGGAAGTTGGAATCGAGGATTGCCTGCATATCGAGTTTGAGTACAATAAAAGCAAGTAAGATAAATTAATTTTCATAATTTTTGGGCTCGATCGATGAGGAAAATTTTAAGCAACATCTAATTCTGTATGCGCTGGATGCAGGTATCACCTAAAAGATGTTATCCTTGGGAAAATATACTTTCTTCTGGTGAGAATCAAGATAAAGAACATGGATCTTGAGATCAGACGGCGAGAATCAACCGGAGCAGGAGCTAATACTCACGTCGAGACAGAAACACTAGCCAAATTTGAGTTAATGGATGGTGCTCCAGTTAGAGGTATATTCATCATATGTTACAAAACTCATTCGGACCTATTGCTAGTTTTGTAACCAAGTATTGAGACACCATTGTTGCAGGCGAATCGATACCTGTAAGAGTGTTCTTGACACCATACGATCTGACGCCAACACATAAGAACATAAACAACAAATTCAGCGTAAAGTATTATCTAAATCTTGTGCTGGTGGATGAAGAGGATCGCCGGTACTTCAAGCAACAAGAAATCACGTTGTACAGGCTCAAGGAAGAGACATCTTGATGTGTACAAAACAAAAGAGAAGAGAGAAATGATTGTTCAGAACTTTGTAAAGCCTTTTCAAGACTTTCTGTATGCAAATTGGTTGGGACTTGTAGTGATGATGTTGAATCATATTTGTAGTTTGTTCAACGACCCAAAATGTTGTTTGCTTTGTTTGGATTCTTGTGACTTCCATTGTCTTCTTCTCCTTCTATAAATGTACTTTTTATTGCCTTATGTTACTGAAGAAGCAGCTTTATTTATAGAAACAGATTACAAACGTTGTAATGGAAAATGTGTTTAAGGAATACAGGAGAATCTTGGTTTAGAAAACAGGACAACCATGAACAACAACACCTTTAGCAGTTGGACATTTAGCAACAGCACAACCTTCACCAGAATTTCCCCACCAATCAATAGCAATCTCACTACGTTGCAGCGTAAGAAACAAAAGCACAGACATGAATCCAGTTCCTGCATCCATTCCTCCAGACAGAACATAGTTATATCTCTGCCACCATTCTCTTCTGTACTTGAACACGAAATGTCCAAACACAAACGCCATAACGAGCCAGCTCGTGAAGTTAACCGCAGAAGCTGGTGGCATTATAGCTGTGGCTCCAACCAGAACAGGGATGTGAATGTTTGAGATCCATTTCTTGTTTGGGAAGAGTCTTGTGGCTAAGTAGACCAATGCTGGAGCTATTGCACCTCCTACGAAGAACCAGTTTATGTTTGAGTATTCTCCAAGATCACCAAACATTCTTCTTGGTCCTACAAGTCCCCAGATCACTGATGCGTCGAAGAAGACTCGATCCGATGGACAAGTCCACTGACTTCCTGGTGGAAGCAGAGAAGTATCACAGAGATTTGGGATTTCAGCCATTAGCCACCAAGCTGTGATTGCGTAAACGATGACTGCTACTAAAGTGCCCACAACCTGTGAAAACATGAGCAACAAGATTGAAGGTAAACCATCAGGGTTAGCCCGCCTGGCTAGTAAGAAGACAAGATTGTATGGGGGAAATATTAAGACTTGCCTGTGCCATAAACATGGTTCTTGGTGGGATCTTCATGTAAGTTCCAAGCTTCAAATCAGAGAGGAAAGTCAAAGATTGAGACATGCTGATGTATCCGTAAGTCTTGAAGCATATGTTAGCAACTGGTCTCTCTGGATATGCATACCCAATTATGTATTCCGTGATAATGTTCAGACCCGGAGCCTACAAAATAAAAACAGTTTAATGATCATGACCGGTTTTTGAAGCCAAGTCATAAGCATGTGACTCTCTCTTCTAACCTGGTTAGTAGTGGCCATGATCACACCAACGAGAGGAGTGAAGAAGATAGCTATCAAACAAGCCAAGAAAGCTCCCCACCATGGAAGCTGAATCTGTGTCTTATAGTAAATACATATGAAGACAATAACTGCAAGATTCACGGCGAAAATCGAAAGAAACCACCAGAGAGGAACTTCTTTGTAATTCCTCTTCATGATCTTTGTATGTATATCCATTTTCTTGTTTTTTCGAAACGCTCCTTTGGTTTGAGTCCAAAGATCTTTGCCGTTGAAAAGCAGGACATGGACAATACTAGCAGACAAGGTCGCAAAGCCGAGTCCATAAGTCACGGCAAAGAAAGTGCTCATGTGGACTGGTCCGGTCTCTGCGTAAGCCTTACGATCGAGGCGGAAATTGGCATCGATGATGCTCGTTACATTGTATTCCTTCCCACTGGCTACAAAGAGTTTACCGGAGTAGATTGGGAAGGTTTTGGCATTGTAGAAATCTAGATAGTAACAGAGAGGTGTGATTACGTACATCACAAGAAAGAACCCAACCGCAATATTTGCTGAGGCAAAGAATGGGCTAGCGAGTGGGCTTCCAAGATATGACGCGATGGTTGACCAGTCCAGACCAAAGGAACCAATACCTAGACCAGCTGACCCTGAACCAAGCTGGTTTACTAGAATCGATTTAGGGCTAATCCAACATAACCAAGAGACGGTGGTTAAGACCGTGAAGAGATAACCAGGTAGGAGATAATAGGAGAAGCTAGTGATGAGCGTGATGACAAAGAACTGATTTCGACTAATTCCCCATTTTGATTTGTTCTCTTTCTCGTGCAATGCTCTGTGAATAATCAAAATCACATATTTTTAGAAATGCTTAATCAAAAACATAAGAGAATCATTAGAAAGTACCTGAAGAGAGACACTTGAACAAGATTGCTTGGCCACCACATTTCACCAGGATCAACTAAATGTTTCCTATACAAACCAGCCCAACCAAATCCCAATACCTTGCAGCACAAGAAACAAGGAAAAAAATTCTCAGTACACATAACCCTAAACCTAGAAACTCTATAACAATAAACACGAAATCAATATTTACCTGAGTGGTGATCATAACGAGCAAAGCAGGTAAGAAATCAAGCCTTCTCTTGTAATAAAGCTTAACAGCACTAAGAATATGACTAGCGTATACAGACCCAGAGCCTGAGTTTGCAAACACAGTTATAAGAACATGTTCTTTGGTACTAAACGGACCAGGATTCATTGTGAAAGACCACCTCGTCCCTTCGAAGAATCTCCTTGTGGGAAGAACTCTAGCCATGAGATGACCAATGGGAACAACAGCAATCTGAGCCGAAACAGAGGAGATGGACAAAGGATTGGTTCTGTACCAGAAAAACTGGTTTAGAAATGACAAAAGAACACAAGCGCTAATGCCAAGAACCCACATCCTAAATGTAACCGTCGGTGAAGTTGGATCGTCGGTTTTGGGCACAGTTAGTTCCACTTGTGGAACTATACTTATCTCATTGTCGCCGTAAGAAACCGAGTCCCACTCCGACTCCGATCTTGTATCTGTAAAGTCTTTCATTGGTCTTCAAAAACAGAGGATTGATGTTCTGTTTTTGTCTCTATGATATGCATAAAATATACAAACGGATTGTTATGTGTTAGTGAGATCGTGTTTATGTTACCGTTCTTAAGATTTGCAATTAAAATATGAAAATAAACAGAGTAAATAACAAAAAATATACTCACAGACAGAAGTGTTTGCTTCCTTCGGTTGTGTGTTTTGAGATTTGAGATCCTGAATGAAACAAGATTGAATTTTATTTTCATTTGGGTGAAGAAATATAGTAGAGTATTTCAATGGATCTTTTCTTTGTTAATTTTGGTATCATATCTGTATTGATATTTTTTATGGAATGTAGTATACTACGGATACACAACAAAATAAGACATTTTTGTTTGTTGTAGATTACCATTGACTGTAAAATTAATATTAAGGAAACATATTTTCTGATGTTTTGGTTAAGAAATCACCAGCTTTATTTGTTGCAAAATGCAAATGATGAACGTCCTTATATTAGAAAAAAATGATGAATTAAGCTGCAAATAAAACTGCATAAGTCTATTCTAAGTTTCGAAAATTTGTGCTAATCCCATTTTACATTTACATAGTGTTTTAATGTTTTCTGTTTTCAATATTGGTAAGAGAATCTTTAAAATTTGATTCTTTGTAAGAGAATCTTTAAAATTTGATTCAAGGACTCATAAAGACGAGGACCGAGGAGTCTAAAAAAATAACCGTAATCGTACCGAACAATCGAACTCGTTCATAGCGAAACCAGATTAGTGAAACCAGACAAAAAAAACATAAACCAACTTTACTGTAACCGAAACAAATCGAATCAAATAAACCAAAATTTATTAAACTTTAATGTTTTTAATATATACTAGATTTTAATCCATGTTACACCGTGAAATAATTTATTTTCTAAAAATAGTGATTTAATTTTTTTTAATAATTATGTATTATATATACAAGTTTGTAAAATGTATTATTTTCTAAGATATTATATTTTATAGCATACACTTGTTATTAAGTAATAGTATATCAAACCACAATTTTTGTTTTATACAATTTTATCTAAATCAGACTGATTCGATATGTCTAATATTGTTGGTGTTAAAAATAATAAAATGAGGATTTAACTTGTATTACAGCGGATTAATGATATTTTTCATTTTTATTAATATTGATTCAAATCCGTTCCGTCATATAACTCTGTTCCGCCATATAACCTCGTCCCGCAATATAACCCATCCCGTGTTATTTTAATATTTTTTTAAGTTCAAATGTTCATAATATTATATTTTTTTATGAATTTTAAATATATCAAATAATAATATTTAAAAGCTTTTAAAATTTAAATTTTAACATTTTCAGTAAAATTTGAACAAAAAACTGAATTAATGCGTATACAAAGGTTTAAATTTGGATGCTTGTTAGGTTAACTATTAGTTTATTACTATTTTTTTAAGCAGAGAATATATTTCTCATAATACGTTTTCTCTCAGACACGACTATCGAAGCATCTTCTTTAAGAAACTTTTCCGGCGCCGGTGTAGCGTTTGTTCGCCGGCGTCGGGATCCCATCTTCCTTTTCACTCGGCGTCACATTTTTTCTTTCTTAGTTTCTTTCTTTAGTTTTCCTCTTTTGAAGGTTTTCCCCACTTTTGTTCCTTTGTTTAACCCATCTCGAACACTTTTAAACGCTTTGTATCACCTCGCACTGCATTCGGGCCGCTCTTCATCATTAAGCGAAGAAGGAAGGATAAGGGAACTGACAAATCCTTTTCTCTACCTTTACCTCGCAGTCCCCTTAGCGGATCTAGTTGCCCTGAAACCTCCGGTTTTAAGCGAGGATTTACCGCAGAAATCTCTCGTTATGGTCTTACTTTACTCGGATAATCGTCTCAACCTTGAAGAACCCTCACACCGGGCTTCGTTGATGACAGGAGGTCTCCCTCTTGGATTGTCAGTTGCGCCATGCCCGGTGGAGACGTCGACGGCGCACGGCGAGCAATTCTTCTGGGATCTGACTTATCATGCCGGAAAGGATATGAATCCTTGGAGCTATGCCTCATACTCGGACCACGGCCAGCGTCTGTTCCTGCCGATTCTTCACTCATCGGAGATGATCCCTGCACCACAAATCTCTTCGCAAGTCTCGGACAGCCGCCGCATTCTTCTTCCGTCGTGGCAATCCAAAGTGAAACTAGGGTTTTCTCCAGTGGACCTATTCTCCAACTTTGGCCCAATCCCACCAAGAAGGCCCAAGCCCATTAGTTGGTTTAAAAATCTTAAGGCTAATATTCTCAGGTCCATTTTCATTATTCTTATGTTAAGCCCAAGTCATTATTTGTGTTGATCTCCTCTACTCCATGGTCGAGGACTCTATGTGAGAGAGGTATCACCATTGTTGCCTTGGCTTTGCATATATTCTATACGAATCCTGGTATTAGTTGTTTTTAGGGACTTGTGGTATGCTTACAAAGGCTTGAAGAACTATGATTTAATTATCTCGAACCGTTTTGCCGGAGTGTGAATTGTGGTATTGGACTAGTTTGGTTCACTGTCCAAATTTCACCAAGCAGCTCATCTGTCGTTTTCAAGCATCTTAACCTCACCACCATCTCCATCATTCAGATCCTATGCTACAAAGTTCATGTCGCGATTTATCGGAGAGATCTAAACCTATTGCTTTGGGTTTCAAAGCTATCCTCAACCGACTATAGAACCATAGTCTCTCGAATCCTTGTTATTGCGCTACCATGGGTACTGCAGCTCACTCCGATGAGAAACGTAACATTGATTCATTCAACAACGTCATAGCGTCTTTTGACCATGACCAATCTGTCGTCCTTCGAATCCCTCGAGGATGATCACTCGATTCACCGTGATCTCACATGTCTCAATGTGCTTCCAAGTCCTTGCCTCAAAGCTCTCATGGATTTAAAATCGATGAACCTTATCTATCTTTTTATGGCATTGGGAATGCTTTTTGTTGTAATGTTTTAAACTTTGGGTTTCTTGAAATCCTTCTCTTTGTACTTGTTTGAATGAATGAAAGCAAGTTAGTTTGTCCAAAAAAAAAAAAAAAAGTTAGGTTAACTTTGTTGCTCAATATATGCAGAAAAAAAATTAAGGTTTTTCTTAATTTTATATATTGTATGATGATATAAAACAGTTAAAAACAAATCAAACAAAGATAATAGGTAAATCATAATTTTTAACCAAATCTTTAAATATCTATATATATATATATATATATATATATATATTTAAATATAGAATATCCGGTTCATAATTTTGATATATTTTGACCCGATCCAAGTTAAATATGGAATATCTGAATCGGGTACCAAATTTTTCGGATCAGAATTTAACCCACCCACTAACAAATGTACTTCAAAGTAAGTTTCAAAAGTGTTTCACATGGTTGTTTTTTCTTTTGTCTAGAACACTTACCATATTCGAGGGAAAACAGCCAATTTCCCCCCCCCAACTAAGTTGCTTTATCGTATTTATACACAGAACTTTTTTGTGTGCGTATAACTACATGAACTTACAATAATTTTGAAATTCCTACACGAACAAAATAAATCAGGCTTAATCCATCAAACTCCCTAACGCTGTTAGATTTCCGTTAACAGAAAGCTGACTAGGATCCTGCGTGGAAGAACAACGTAAAACGCCGTCGTTTCAATTTTAAAAAAAAATAATTCCGAATATTGGCGTAAGTGGGATTCGAACCCGAGAGGCCCAAATCAATTTAATGAATCGTTACCACTTGTGCCATAATGACTCTCGTTAAAAATCCAAACAGAGATATATAAAACCCAAAAGCTCGACTCTCTCCACTTTTTTTATCTGTTCTTCTTCTTCCTCCTCAGCATCTTGCATCTCTTAGCCCTCTTCATCACTGTAAACGAAGAGTAAATCGATTTATTCTGAGACTAGGATTATTGAATTCGATTTTGATTGTAAGAAAACATTAAATTTTGGAGAAATTTTTTGGGGATTATTGAAAGGGAAATTGGTAACTTAGGGTTCTTTTTAAATTATTTCCTAATCAAAGACCTCCATAACTATCTGGTTTCATGGATTTTCCAGGAAATTTAGGTAAATTGATGCGTAATTCACAAAACTCAAATCGAGTATGAATCTCACATCGAACGTCGATTGTTCAGCCCTAATCCTTGACCCTGCAATTGATTATCTGATGCATCAAAAGACACCGAGATTCTTGAGAAACCATCACGTCTTGCAGGAATTGTTTTTGCAATTGTTATTACGAAGATGGACTGGGTTTTGTGAGGTTGAGAAAGAATTGCAGAATATATATATATATATATATAACGTAATAATTGTGGTAGCGTAATTGGTAATTGGTTCGTACATTGCCATTAAAAAGATCTATGGTTCAAATCACCAGATGTGCCATTTTTTTAGTTTTTAATTTTAAATGACTCCACGTGGCATTCTAGACTCCGACATGGCATGTTAGTCAGCATTTGTTAACGAAATATTAACGCCGTTTAACGATTTGATGGTTTTGATCAGATTTTGATTTTTCATGTAAGAAATTCAAATTTTATCTAAGTTTATGTAGTTATAGGCACGACTTAAAGTTCGGTATATAAATACGATAAAACAACTTAGTTCAGGGGGGAATTGACCGTTTTCCCCCATATTCCACCTCAAAATATAGACTAGTTGTTTTGAAACTGAGTCTGAGTCTAGAGTTTATTTTTTATTTTTAATCTTTCAAACAACAAAATTTATATATTGTTCTAAAAGGTCACATTGAGGAATTGAATTTATATATAGTTTAACCCTCTTCTAGATTCAACAAAAAACTTGTGAAGAATTGGTGAACTAGTGTACAAAAGATGTTCAAGCAAGTTACTAGTTTATTCAAAGAACAATGACTAGCGCTGGAAAATAGGTTAGATGAAAAAAATATAGGGGGAATCCTTGAGTTTGCGAATAGTTAAAGGCTGAAAAATCAGCCAACCCCTAAGTTTTCGAAAAACAAAGAGATTCAAACAAGAACTCATGCAA